GAATGAATTACAACTTAGAGAGGTTACTGTAGCTATACATTCGTGAGATAGTGAGGTTGTATGGATTTTTGACCTCGATCATATCCGATAGAGACCCTTATTTCAATTCTCAATTCAAGAAAGCCCTTTATAAATCCCTAGGCGTCAAATTACAATTTAGTATCATTTTCTATCCTTAGATAGACGACCAATCCAAGAATATTATTTAGATTCTATAATACATACTTAGGTGCACCATCATAGACCTTAAAGATTATCGGGAAGATCATCTGCTACTAGTGGAGTTCACGTATAACAATAGCTATCAGTCTAGTATTCAAATGGCTCTATATGAGGCATTATATGGATGTAAGTGTAGGGCTTCATTGTGTTGGACAGGACTCAATGAAAGAAACATAATAGGCCATGATTCAATAAGGGAAACTGTAGAAAATATTTGATTGATTCAGAGTCAGTTGAAGTAAGCTTCTGACAGGTAAAGATCGTATACAGACTTGAAACGCAAGGATATCAAGTTTGTTGTGGGATACAAAGTGTTCCTTAATTGTCTCTATGGAAAAAAATGGTTCGTTTTGGACATAAAAGGAAGTTAACCCCGCGCTTTATAGGGCCATATGAGATACTTGAGAGGGTTAGACCCGTGGCATATTAGTTAGCCTTACCCTAGAGTTAGAGTGTATCCATAATGTATTCCGCATGTCTATGCTTAGGAGGTATCGTTCTAACCCTTCCCACATCACATTGTTAGAGCAAATTGAAGTAAACCAAGACATGACCTACAATGAAGAGCCAATAAGGATATTAAAAGAGACGTGAATAAATTAAGAAAGAACAAGATTCTCCTAGTCAAGGTTCTATGAAAGAATCATGGTTTCAAGGAAAAAATATAGAAAATAGAAGAGGATATGCAACTTCAGTATCAACATCTCCTCTATCCAAGTAAATTTTGAGGACAAAATTTCTTATTATAAGGGGAGTGTTATAATGCCTCAAATATCATATTAGTAGTTTCGGGCCAACCTAAGAGGGTTAAATAAGCCCACTAGACTTATAGAATAGCTTGGACCAAGTTAAATATGAAATTGGGATTGGGTTAGGCCCAAATGATAGAAAAGTGAGCATTTTTATTAGTTGAGTGAAAGAGGAATGACCAAAAGGGATATTAGACCATTTTTATTTTAAAAGTTGATTTGTTTTAATTGGGGATGATGTAAATGGCTGAACCACTCCCACTATTCACCCTATCTTCATCATTCCTTGTCCCCTAAATTCTTTCCCTTCATTTCTATAGTTTTTTTCCTCGAGCAAAGTGTAAATGTGAAAAATTGGTAACCCTACAAGCTCATTTCAAAAATTCCAAGGTAAGAATCGTAATCCCCTTACCTCAAGCTTTCATTTAAGTTCTTAATCTCAAGGTTTGGTTATAATAGCCATATATGGGGGTTCAGTAGGGGTTTAGGAATTCTAGCTCGTTTTTAGAGTAAGGTGAGCTTAGAAAAGTATTCTTATATTTATTATGGCCTCTTGATCAGGTTAGTAACTCATTTTTCCCTTGTTATATTAGTGAGAGAGATTGAAGAAGGTTCCAAAACCAAGGGCAAAGAGAAGTTAGATCTTGGTTGAGTTGTAAATGTTTTCATCAACTTAGAGGCTAAGGTAACATATTTTTATCCTTCCTATACCATTTGTGGGTCACTATGTACATTTACTTAACTTGCACTAGTTTATGAAACATATGAGCATGTTCATGGTAGATTCTAGTTTGAAGTATTTTTAAGCATGAAAAATGATTCCTCAAAACCCTTATCCACTTACATAAGACTTAAACATTAACTAATGGCCTTAAAGGGGTAAATGGATAGAGTTATGTTGTATTTTTATGCCCAAAATAAGGCATTTTTGGGTTTGAGTATCGGTACTAGAAGAAAAGTACCGATACTGTTCATCAGCTAGCTTGAAATAAGGGAGTTTTGGAAGGGTATGTATTGATACTCATCCATAGAGTATTGATATTGCTGGTTAGGTTTCTATACTCGTAGAGTAGTATCGATACCGAGAACACTTAGCAGATTCCAGTACGCAATTTTAGTATCGGTACTAATGGGAGTATCGATACTCCTAGTAGGGTATCAATACTAAGATAATTTTTCAAAATGTTAAAGCTATTTTTAGTATCGATACTCGGGAAAGCATTAATACTCTCATATAGAGCTTTTGATACTTCATATAAGAGTATCGATACTAAGAGAGATTCTAAAACATCAAACCAAAATTAGGTATCGATACTTAGAGTAATATCGAAACCCTACTATGACAGTATCAATACTCTAATTAAGAGTATCAGTACCTTTGTCATGATTTAGGTAAGGAACCCATCACATCTTAAGTATTTTTTTAGGGGAGCAAAGGTCTTCTAAACTCCATAAATAAGATTTCAAGTGAGAACAACACTAATGATTATAAGTACATCTAGAAACGATATAAATTAAGAAATCATAAAACTAGCCTTGTATGATGCTTAGGAAACAATCAGGACACTCGGGTTACTCTAGTAACTAGGCAAACGTTTATGTGGTAGAATGTTCAGACAAGTATCAATTAGTGCATTAGGCACTTCTTTGTCGACCAGGCATAGATGGCCCAAGTACTCATATGGAGTAAGTAGATTGGGTGACCATTTCCAATGTAGAAATTCAAGATCTCACCCTATATAAGCTAGAGGGGTATATGTCTCTGAGATGTAGCGAAACCCTCCGACCATACCATGATGCCTACCTCTGTATGTATGTTTAGCTTAGCATCTCTGCTTGCTAATATTTATGTTACCTAGCATGTGCATGTAGTTGACATATGTAGTATAGATTAGCTATTAGTATGACACTAAGCTTGTGACCTCAGTGTTCAAAATTTGTTTCTGTGTGCAAGCTCTTAGGAGGAGTGTTCAAGTAGCTTATCTCGCAGTCCACATTCCAGACCGACACCATCTTTTGAGTACGTCTTGAGTATATTTTTAAAGGGCTTGTACTGTATATGGATCTTATGTATTTAAGTCATAACTTTATTTTGAAACTCTATTTTAAATCAGTTTGGATGTATTTTAGGGGCTCCTATATTTGTAAACCTAAATACTATTATTCTTATTTTATAATTAAGATGGATTATTTTCAATTGATCTTTATCATTGTTAAAAAAAATTAGGTTAGCCACTTTAGTGGTCCTGTGTAGCGTACTAATATATCGGTCTTCGAATCATATTAGATTAGGACGTTACAGGTTCAACACTGCAAAACGAGTGAAATAAGAAGAAATAATACAAATAAAGGAAACACAAACATTACCGTTTATGCTAATACTAAACTGAATATTATTACCAAAACCAATTGTCTCAATTGGTTCGATTGAAGTAGTTTTCTAATCACATCAACATCCTCAACAATGTTGAGTCGATTCGATGGAGTCATGAGTTAGGACTAAGAGCCAGGTGTACTTCATAAGTTGAAGCCCAAGCCTTAGGATCTTTATGATCCCAAGGCTGTGAATCAAGCACCACGGTCGAGTGCAGTGGTCCAAAAGATCAAGAAATTCCACACCAGATACAATAAGAAAACCGTGGGACATAAGGTTTACACCAGAAAGCTCAACAAAGCTAAAGAACCAGCTGCTCTAGACTGAGTCTCGACAGTGTCGAACCAGGCCGTTGATGTCAGGGTGTTGTTGATGTTGATGTTTTTGGGATTTTTTTAACATATGTGTTTTTTATTTGGATTCTCATTAAATGAACCAAATTGTAATGAATTATTGTCATTAAATCATAAAAATGATTTTAGATGCTCTTACCTTAAAAAAACTGAATATTCTATACATACTTGTTGATGAAATGTGTTAAAAATTACAATGAAGAAAAATGTATTTGATGAAATGCGTGAGAGACACAATACATGAGATAAATATTAAATCTTTTAAAGGAAAATCAAATTCAGACTTGGTTTGGTGGTAATGCACAAAGGCTTTAATCTTGGCAACCTAGATACAATACCTACTAAATGTAAATTTTGTAATTTCATATTTAATCATCTTTATGCGTTAATTGATTAACGATTTTCATCCAATGAGAGGGTCTTTTAACCCAAACTAGAAACGTTAGATGTATTTTATCGAATTTTAGGGATTTAAGTTTAGAGATCTAAGGAATTGAGGCGAATTGGTCACTGGGGGAATGACGTCCATTGGATAATTGATTGACTGCAATGACAACAAAAAGAGACAATCAACATTGATAAATATACTTAAAATAATATTAAAAATATTAAACACCTACTTTAAACAAAATATATTTTAAACACTTAAAATAAATAAATAAAATATAATTTACACAATTATTTTTTATTAAGCCAAAAATATATAACATATACGTACATTAATTGAAAGGTGACAACATGTCCAATTATCGCTTAGTTAATTTAACAAAAAGATTTCATTTACAACAAAATCAAGATTTAGGGGCCACATATAAATTATACACCAACGTGGCACAAGGACAGCCCCCGACCACTTGGAAATTAAAATGAGGGGATGCACAATATTAGTCTAACCTCATCAAATTTTAAGGTGTGACACTTTTAATATAAAATTAAAGTATACATTATTAATTTTTTTATTATTTAAATAATAAAATTGATAAAAATTATTTAAAATATTATTATTTTTTTTAAACAATAATATTTTTTAATGTTTTCAGTAAAATATTTGATAATAATAAAATCGATAAAAATACTAATATTTTTAATAATATTTTATTTATTTTTATTTAAATAATAATAAAACCAATAATATATTTTTAATCTTATATTAAGATTGTTGAACGTAATCGTTTTTTCCTAACCTCATAGGAGTAGCAAATTATCAAATTAGCAACAAGAGGAGGCTGGGTTAACTTGTAAACTTTGATTACCGTTGCGTTTTGTGGAGTCTATAAAATCCTAACCCTCTCCACCGTCCTGTATTTTTTCCGTGCCGTTTCCTTTTTGAATAGTTTCGAAAACTAAAGACCAAAGCCAGCGAAGCAAAAGCTGAAGCTGTTTCAGATTCAAAGAACCCAGACCGAACACCCTTAACAAACAGATAAAGAGATTCAATTTTCTCTTTCCTTTTTTTTGTTCTCTGATTTAGCATTCGGACGAGAAGAGGAATGGCGGATTTATACCTGTTGGGATTCATCTTGGTCTCGATCACGACGCTTGTGGCATTGTGCGGCGTCGTTTCGAAGAGACGGAAAGTTAACGGAATCGTATCCTCGACGGGGACTGACTCGCTGAAGAGCGTCCCGACTATTGACGGAGAATGCAGATCCACTGATGCCTGCGATGCTGACGTCATCATCGTTGGAGCTGGCGTTGCTGGTGCCGCCCTCGCTCACACTCTTGGCAAGGTGTCTTTTCCTTTTCTTTCTTTGCACTTATTCTGTGTCCAATCACGAACTAGTCAATGATTTCTTCATTTCAGTGTTTTTAGGCTGTCGTTTTCATTTTTTTAATGCTACGCCAGCACTTTCTCAAACCTTCGGCTATACACTTTGTTCTCATTTTCCTTCTATACATTTTTCTCCCTTTCATGCTATTTGTTTAGATGATTTTACAAATCCTTTTACTTCTTTCATGTATCTCTTTTTGAATATGTTGCAACTTATATATGCTCGAAGTTATTAAAAAGAAGGAACCAATGATATTGTCCGCCATGATTCGGGGAGTAATTTGTGAGCTTTACTATTATTATTCAGTATTTATTTGTTACCTCTTCAAAATCGTATGATTGTAGGCTTCTACCGAACTGGAATTGAAGAAATTGAACAATCTGTTATTTACGGTCCTCAATTTCTACATGATTAGTCACTATCAATTTATCTATAATCTTGAGACCTATAATCATCTGTGATCTCATTGAGATATTGATGTAGCCAACAAATAGGGGCCCTTAAAAATATTTAGTCTTTAGGCCAAATTAACCTCTGTGCACATCCTTTTTGTTCTGGTTTGTGTTCTGATGTCCACCTTTTGTATATGATTCCGATTTAAATCGTTTAACTGTGCATTTTTTCTTAATAAAAATCCATTGATATTTGTAAATGTAGCATCCGTTTTCCTGGGTTTTAACTTGCTTCATGGGTTTAAATGGGATGATTGTGTGCGACATTAAGCAAGATCTCTGATAATAGAGTGATTCTTATTGGAACTTACTTTTAAATTTAATAATGGGTATAAAGCACAGGATGGACGTCGAGTGCATGTGATTGAAAGAGATCTGTCGGAGCCTGACCGGATTGTTGGGGAACTGTTGCAACCAGGGGGCTATCTTAAGTTAATTGAGTTGGGACTTGAAGGTAGGTGAATACTGAAACGTGACTATATGTAGATGTTCATGGTGTTCAATTATGTATTTGTTGATATTGTAATGGAATGAATTCTGTCAGCCTTATGGATTTTCTCACTGCAGATTGTGTGGAGGAAATCGATGCTCAGCAGGTATTTGGTTATGCGATTTTCAAGGATGGAAAACATACCCGACTTTCTTATCCCTTAGAAAATTTCCACCAAGACGTATCTGGTAGGAGTTTTCACAACGGACGTTTCATACAAAGGATGCGGGAGAAAGCAGCCTCTCTTCCTAAGTATGATAATTTCGTTACTTTGTTATGTTCCTCTTATTCGTTGCTCAAACTCCTTTTGCTGATGCTTCAATATTATGAAAATTTTGTACTGCCTAAAGCAACATGCTGAAAAATATGTTATTGTATTTATGCTTCCCATCTTTTACCAGTGTACGGTTAGAGCAAGGGGTGGTTACTTCTCTGCTTGAAGAAAAAGGGACAATCAGAGGAGTGCAGTACAAAACTAAAGAGGGCCATCAAATGACCTCATTTGCACCTCTGACCATTGTTTGTGATGGTTGTTTTTCTAATTTGCGCCGCTCTCTTTGCAACCCTAAGGTGAGTTGATCCATCAACCATTTGTTTTGAAGGTCAAGAAAAAACAGATTCCCATATTATCTACCTGTTATTTCTCTTTTAATGTTCTAAAATAAACAGTGTAATTTAATTAACTCAAAAACCCTAATGATATAATCCACAGGTAGAAGTACCCTCTTGTTTTGTTGGATTGGTACTAGAGAATTGCTATCTTCCATACTCGAATCACGGGCATGTTATACTAGCAGATCCTTCCCCCATTTTGTTCTATCCTATTAGCAGCACAGAGGTTCGTTGCCTCGTTGATGTACCTGGTCAAAAGGTTCCTTCTATCGCAAATGGGGAGATGGCTAACCATCTGAAGACTGTTGTTGCTCCTCAGGTATTTGCTTTTTTTTTTATTTCATAGGTGTTTACTACTAACAATATGCTGAACTTATGTTATACTTTATATTTAATGTTCTCCTGGGTTGACAATGTGGCCACGTTTATAACAGGTTCCACCAGAAATTTATGATTCTTTTGTAGCAGCTATTGGAAAGGGAAATATTAGGACAATGCCAAACAGGAGCATGCCGGCTTCTCCTTATCCCACTCCTGGAGCCCTATTAATGGGAGACGCATTCAACATGCGCCATCCGTTAACTGGTGGAGGAATGACTGTAGCGTTATCTGATATCGTTGTTATCCGTGATCTACTAAAGCCTCTGCGTGACCTCAATGATGCTCCAACACTCTGCAAGTACCTGGAGTCATTTTACACTTTGCGTAAGGTAAAACCATATTGTTGTTATGATATTTTCTCTGTTTCTGTGGTATATTGACTTATGTTATGGCAGTGGAACTCATTTCTAACTTATAACGGTTTTTTCCAGCCGGTGGCATCCACTATAAATACCTTGGCAGGTGCATTGTACAAAGTGTTCTGCGCATCACCTGATCAAGCTAGAAAGGAAATGCGACAGGCTTGCTTCGATTATCTAAGCCTTGGGGGTGCATTTTCGGCAGGCCCGATATCTTTGCTCTCAGGTTTGAACCCCCGCCCTTTGAGCTTGGTTCTGCATTTCTTTGCGGTGGCAATCTACGGAGTAGGTCGTTTACTGTTGCCGTTCCCCTCACCCAAGCGAATCTGGATCGGAGCTAGACTCATCTCGGTATGGTTTCCTTTTCTATCCTTTGGCTATACTTGACATCAACACTTCAACTTTGACTTAGGTATACTTCGGATATCTCGACTCTAAATCTGGTCTAATCCAAACTCGACAATGACCAGAATTCAAAATCTCTTTAATTTTAAAATAATAACAATCCGAATGCGACATTATATACCAAACTCCAAAACAATTCAACTTGCTCACCCAATTGTGAATATAATATTAACTGTGAATATAAAATTATTTTTAATTTTAATTGCAGGGAGCATCAGGAATCATATTCCCTATTATAAAGGCAGAGGGGGTTAGACAAATGTTCTTCCCGGTGACGGTTCCTGCGTATTACAGAAGAGCCCCACCTGTTAAATGAGATCCCGATTTGAAAGGAATCGAATTAATTATAGCAAGTATTTAGCTTTTTCGTTAAGACAATTGTTTGTATTCTTCCCTGTCAAAGTCTTGGAGAAAATTTAAGGGAAATTGCATCAATCCGAAACCTCATTGGTTGGATCATATTTTGCCAATATCAAACTACCACAAGAATTTCACCTTCTGAAACACAATTACGGTATAAGAAAAATCATTATTTTCCTTTACATGCACCGAGAAATCTGAATTAAGCATAGCATCATGCCTTGTAATAAATACAATACAAACCCCTTCATCTTCTTCATCATTCAGTCCCCGTAGGGAAGAAAAATAATTATTCATCTTTCAGAAATGTAACATGAAGTATGAACTCAGTTAAAACTCCAAACAAAAACAAACGCAATGGGCTGAGCCATCCAACAGCAGAGATGGAACATGGAAGGATAGAGTTTTAAGTATTCTGCATCCCTATTGTCTGCATTTAACTGCCTCAACTCCTGTAGAATTATAGCTACGTTTACGGTTTTCATGCCCTCGTGTTCTTCCTTTCTTGCTTTATGGCCTCGTATGAGGTCATTACCTCTTTAAATTTTGCCTCCGCGACTTCTGAAATTCACACATAATTAACTTGAAAAAACAATCCAAAGTAATGCTGTTAGGAGGGTTTAAGATTAGGGGTTTGTAGTAATAACTGCCCAACACATCTAACCTTTATTATCCTGGTTCTGATCTGGGTGGAATTCTTTTGCTTTGGCCCTGAATGCTGTCTGCATACAGATATAAGAAACCAGTAACTATAAGAAACCATAAAAATTCCCGTTCATTTTCCTTATGTTCTTTGATTGATGCATCAAGCCAAATAAATTTAAGAATAAAAGTGCCGAACAATTATGATCAAGTAATAACAACGGAGATCAGAACAAATTGCATTAACTAACACTAGAATGAATGGTATTGAAACAATGGTTTTCACTAGTTTTCCACCTACTGAAATATGATATATGCTGACCAGATGAGGTTCCATTCACAATGTAATATATCACAGAAGAGCACAAATTTAGACACTCTGACTTCCTAGTCTGATAAAATGGCAATTCGATGAGCATTAGCATAAACTAGCAATCAGTCTAATTGAGTAGACTGGGGTATCAATTAGCTAGGACAAGCAAATGATTAATTTCATTAATTGGTTATCTAATATCGGAATAGAGATATACCAAGTCAACTTTTGATCAAGATATACAAGAAATATTATGATATATGGCCAATAACATAACGACAAACATATATCAAAAAGCAGTATCAATTTAGAAAATGATAAACCAATATAACTCAAAACAACAGCAGCGATATACAAGCATAAAACATTTCAAATATAATTCAGCATACCTTAATCTCATCTTCTGTATATGGTTTCATTCTGGCTCTGAGTAGAAAAGTAAAGAAAGTGTCAATTTTCAGTGTTGAAGCTATTCACTATGCCAACATGAATAGGGTAGAAAAGAATTTATTATCCCTATGTAATAGCAGCATTACCTGTCAAGACCTAAAACAGTATAGTGATGTGATAATGGATAGCGTGCACTATCTCTTTGAGGTGGCCTGTAATTGGTTCTTTGATCTTTGTAAGATGCATCCGCCTTCCAATACCAATCATCTCGCTGGAAGTGCTGATGGTAAGCACCAGGACCATTTTCCTTCCAGCTCTCATAGCACCTTTTGTTTTTATTTCGCTCCCGGTTAAACACACTTTGCATGCGCCTTATTCTCTCCTACAAAGAGAAGAAGAAATTAATTAACATGATGATATCAAACTGGTCTACTAAAGAATATATCAATACGAGCAGGGATGAAGCTGGGGGTGAATGATTGCAGTCCCCATCCAACTACTAAAATTGATACCAAATGTTAAGGATTAAGAATATTACTTAGTCATAAAACAAAGTGATGTAACTGGTGTTAAAAGAAGATAATTGCAGATAAGAATTACTGTCCACCCATCTTACCAAATCACAAATGATTTCAGGAAAATACCATTACAGATAACTTCCATAAGATGGCAATGAAATAGCCGCATAAAGCTGGGTAAATCTTCCAGAGATTCAACAATTCGACACAAGTTCTCACCATCATTAAATATTAATATTACAATTTATCATTCCTTCAAATATCATATATAACTGACAATAACAATTCCCAATTTAAAACATCCTAAACTTACACTTTGTAAAACATGTTGGAAAACCGCAGGAAGTAAAAAGAAAGCAAAATATAAAGAATGCTCACAGAAATCACAAGCTTACCACTCTTTCCATTTCTTCCTCATGTTCTTCTTGTATTCGGCGATTATACCTTCTCCATGCTTCCTCCTGAAAGGATGTTCGGAAAGAACCTCCTCCCCGTGATGATTTTGACCTGACTAACTTTCATGGTGCAAGTAGACACATGATCAGATTGTCAAATTACATAAAAGAGAAATAAGAAATGTTATAGTAAAATGTAAGATATAAGAAAAAGTAATAAATATATACAAAATTCAACAAGGCAACATTTGAACATAACACAGCACAACCATATCCTTAAATTTAGAAATGTTATCCCATTAAGGCAGCTCTCAAAGGTGGCAAAGCAATAATTTTGATGTAAAAAAGATCCATCAAATGAATCTTCTTCTTGAAATATAATCTTAACTTAGGATAAATTTCTATCATCCTATTAACAATATGCTTTCAGGAAAACAACCGAAAAATTACAATCCTTGTTTAAATTTATAAGAAAATAAATTCCTTCCAACATTCATTTTTAAGAAAACAATGAAGATAGATACTGATGATTAACCATAGAAGGGAGTAATTTCCTCGAACCATTCCAAATTTAAACTAAAGTACAATAGAATCATTCAGAGCTGAATAGATGAAAGAACTTGTTTTTAGTATACCCGAGTATATATCCAATCAACGGACCTCCTCAGCTGCCTAACCTTCCGGATTGTAACTACAAAGGAAATTATAACACACAGCTGCTCCCAACAAAACTGATTTATTAATACAATTTGTTTACATTGTTCCTCAGAAGACAAAAACCTAACCTTGGTTCTAATTTTTTTATGGCCCCAATTTCAAATCAAAAAGAAGAAAAAAAACCCAAACAGTTCAGCTTATAATGATATATAAATTTTCAACAAAATAAGGAAAAGATTGAAACTTTAAAAAGGGCGAGAGTGAACGGAAGCACTTACCGCGAAAGTGGTTGCAGTGGCGCCAATTAAACCAAAGAGGAAAATTCCCCAAAGGCTAGGGTCTTCATCTTTCGCTTTATAATCCCTGCTCGGAGACGACCATTGCTTACTCTTATCCCTGTCAGCACCACCGCCTCCCATTTCTCTTGATTCCCCAAATTTCCCCTACGATTTATCAACAATCTCTTTGCTGCAATTCAATTTCAATATCAAACCCTAATCGCATGGCAAGGATTCTTCTTCCCTTCAATGTTGTCTCTTTTTTTCTTTTCAATTTTAATAAGGAAATTAAATCTGTTTTATTTTCCTTCACCATTCTCTCTTAATATTTGAATTTTCCTGTAATTAAAGAATTCGTGGCAAATATAACCTTTGGGGTAAATTACACAGATCATCACTAAACTTCACTCTATCTCCTATTTAACTCACCGTACCTTCAATTTTTTTACTTGCTTACTGAACTTTATACATTGCACAAATTTGATCATTCTGTCGTTAATCTTCTCACGTCGTTTTGACTTGGATTTTTACCCTAATATTTTATTCGTTTAATAACATGTTAAATGGCACTCATAAATGAAGTAAAAAAATTAATTTGGGTAAAACAAAGTTACCCACGACACTCTCCCAAATTTCTCCCAAAAATTTCCCAAATCGTTCAACCCTAATTTGAGTTGAGAGCTTTTGTTCATAGGATTTGAAAGGTTTAAGGTCTAATGATGGTTTAAAATAGGATTTTCTACGATCAGGGCTTGGGATAGATTGTGACCCAAATGATTTCCGAATGATGAGAAGTCATGTGTTGCGTTCGAGGCGTATTGCTGAAATAACATACGATGAGTGTTTCAGAAATTCTTCATTATATGTTGATTGTGAAACACAAAAACAATTAGGGTTTAATTTTAAAACAAAAATTTTAGGGTTTTTTAGTATTTCTTTTAGGGGTTTTAAAATTTTCTGTTAATATATGGAATTTATGTTTGATTGTATAGTTTAGGGTTGAATTTCATTTTGATTATGCTTTGTTGTGGTTTTTATACGTTTTTTTACTCTGTATTGCTTTGCCGTGGTTATGTTATGTTTGTTTTGGATATATGTTGTGGTCTACCATATGTTTGTTGGGTAGTATGTGTTGGTTGGATATTAATGATAGTGAGGATGACATAGGCACTTTTTCTGATCCCCACATTGTTTTGACAATAGTTTAATACCTTTTTTCTTATCCCCACCATGGTTGGATATCAAAGAAGGCACTTTTTTGTTGGTTGGATATTAATGATAGTGAGGACCACATGGGTTAAAAGTTTGCAAACATGTATATATGTTATTTAATTATTATATTGTTAAAATTGTTAGTGAGGACCACATGATCTATGTTTTTATATTGTTAGTGAACATTATTTGTGTTAGTTAACTTTAATTCATAATTTATTTATTAATTTAATTCACAACATCTTTAAATTAATGTATTTTTTATGTATGTCACAACAACATCTTCAGAGTACTGCACTATAGTGGTCCACCATGGTGGATTTGTTGTTAATGTTAATCACCTCATGGTGGAATATACTGGTAAAAAGATTGACTTCTTTGATATGTGTGAGATTGAATCTATGTCTATGCTTGTTATATGTGATATGATTAAGCAATTAGGATATGTTAATCCACATGAAATTTATTGGCAACAATCGGGGGTGCATTAACTCTAAAACCATTGAAAACTGATGTTGATGTGGTGAGTATGTTAGGTAATATCCCCCAGGAATAAGTATGTACATGTTTACATTGAAGAAGCTATTGAACATAGACATGAGAGTCATACAAAAATTGAAAGTGAAACTACTGTTGCTATTTCATAAAATCTTGAAATTGAAACTAATGGTGAAAATGACTCGGTTGATGATGAAACTTTTAGAGAATATTTTTTCGAGACTGAGGATGAAAATTCAGAATATATAGCTTATGAGAGTGAAACTTCTGAAAGTCTATTTGAGGATAGTGGGAATGACATAGGTGATGGTGATGATGAAATTTGTGATGTGCATGTGGGAGTTGATAGGGATATACCTGGATTTACTGTAGGCAATGAAGGTGGGGAATAAATAGTGAAGATGATGGTAAGGGTTCAGATTCATTGCATAGTGCAAGTGACTCTGAAACAGAGGGTCATAAGAGAATGTGCCCTAAGTTTAATACTGGGATTGACTTAGAAAATCCCCAGTTTAGGAAAGACATGTTATTTTCTAACAAAAAATTCATTAAAGCAGCATTGATACAATATGGAGTGAAAAATAGGTACAATGTCAGGCTTAAGGTAAATGATTCTAGAAGACTTCAGGTTGAATGTTAGTCTGACTGTCCATGGATGATTTGGGCATCAAGAGTGAATCCCAAAGATAGAATGGACAAAACATGGCAGATTAAGACATATGTTGGAGAACATACATGTATTAGAGAAATGAAGAATAAGAATTGTACCTATTAATGGTTGGCTAGGGAATACATTGAGAAATTTAGGGTTGACCCAAACTACTCCATTAGCTCCCTAAGATAGGATGTGAGAAATGATCACATCCTTGATGTACCAATATCAAAATGCAGTAGAGAAAAACAAGAACCTTTGAAGATGATCCATGAAAATCAAGATGACCAATATGCAATGATATATGATTACCTTGCTGAATTGAGATGAACAAACCCTGGGACAACAACCATATGTCATCTAGATAATAAGATGTTTGTAAGGATGTACATTTGTCTTCAAGCTTGCGATGATGGCTTGAAATTAGGATAGACCAATCGTTAGCCTTGATGGTTGTTTTCTTAAGGGCCATCATCAAGGTTATCTATTGACAATAGTTGGGGTTGATGCAAATGATTGCATCTATCCCTTAGCTTATGTTGCAGTTGAGAGTAAGAACCTTTCCTATTGGTCTTGGTTTTTACAAATCATTGAAGTAGACCTGGAGCTTACAAACTCACATCAATATACATTCATGTCAGACAAGCAGAATGTAACTAATTAAATTTTATTTTAATTGAAATTTATGTATGTCATTTATTAATTTTAAATTAATTAGTGCTTATAGGGTTTAGTAGAGGCAATTGTAGAATTGTTTCCCAATGTAGAGCACAGAACTTGTGTTAGGCATTTCTATTCCAACTTCAAGTCCAAGAGGTGCAACCAAGGAAATGCATTAAAAGATGTGTTATGGACGGCTGCAAAGGCTACAAACAAAAAACAGTTCATTGATGCAATAAATGAAATGTGATCAATGTCAGAAGATGCATTTGATTGGATGAAAAATAAGGAATGTAACACCCCCAACCCGTATCCGACCCGGATCCTAGTCCGAAGTGCCACATGGACTTTTCAAAAACCTTTACTTGTATTAAATAGTGAGTAATTTAAAATTTATTATTACATATAACTTATTCAAAACCTTTATCGAACTATTCAGAGCTTATACAATATATTATCTTGAATACATGCCAACTAAAACTTTATGTATTCAAATACATATTATTTATCTTTCTTCTGATCTGACTTTTGGTAAGAAGAACTGACCTGTCTTGCTCCACGTTGCTCCTTACTCTTCTCACTTCTGTAACCTACGTGTGAAACAATCACACGCTAAGTCGTTGACTTAGTGAGGCATATAAAACATATAATATTTCATATAACATAAAGCATACATAAACATATACCATCATTATTATAATCTCTATCATTATCATTAAGAAACATACATAACATCATATGGTTCATGTAACATATTTCAAACCATTTACCTTTGATAACCATCTATAAACCCATCGTATACATATCACATTCAGTATGTTTGTTTAATCTCTTTATTAGCCCATGTACACTAGTGAGAACTTGAGGTATGTGAGTATATTGAGGTTGTGCACACATATGCTGTCACCACAGCTCGATCAATGTCCCGAAGGACCTATCCAGAGGTCATAAAGATCCTCGGTAACTATCCAGAGGTCATAAAGATCCTCGGTAACTGTCCATAGGTCCCGAAGAACCTAGGTAAACTGTCCATATGTTCCTTAGAACATAGGTATACTGTCCATATGTTCCTTAGAACATAGGTATACTGTCCATATGTCTCGAAAGACATAGGTAAAACCCTCGACTCTTGGCATGCCAACTATACCTATAGCTCTCGTATCATATAACATGGGCATTATATTCATATCACTTCACATATTCACATGTACATTTCACTTTTCATATGATTTCATAATCATCTGTCACGTAGCTTATAACACTTCTCTTGTGTTCATCTGGCATGTAACTCATTGTCATCTCTTATTCTCATATGATTCTCATACATCAAGTATATCACATAGCACATAGTATAACCTATAAACTTATACAGGTATCCATATACATACTTTTATATACTTCGAATAACAATGCCCTATAACTTCTCACAGTTTTACCTAATCACTTATTTCACATTAATTATATTCTAGTTTCATATATTACTTAATTCAATTTCACATAGCTTGTTACCTATATAAATATTTTCTCATAACTTATCATCACATAGTTCCCATAACATTTTCCTATAGATTCATAAATCTTTACCATATGACTCATGTATTATATGTTCATTTCAGCTCATATATCCTCTCCATATAACTTATTTACATGTTCATATAATCACTTCTGTCAATGTCTCATCATTTATATATTATTCTTATATTGTCCTATAAATCAATGTTATTTAACTTATCCTACTTTTCATCTAATCTCATAAGTTGGTTATACAATTCCTATATATATGTATATATATATATATATATATCTAACTCATGTAATTTATATCCTTTCTCTTGTTATCATATAAATCATTGCTATTTTACATAGTTCATGCTCCTATAATTTATATCTCAGGTTCATATAACTCATCTAATTCCTATAATACATAAATCATTGCCATATAACACATATCATATAAATTCATACCACCTAACATGTAATACAACTAAACATATTCATGTAATATCAAACATAATCATACAATCATATATTCAACATATTGGAAACAGACTTGTCGCAAGTCAAATTTCCATATACAATACGTATATTCTAATAGTACGCACTCACCTGGCCTCACTAGTCAATATCGATCTGTTATCTTTCCTTGATCGATCTTACTTGATAAGTTCTGGAACTTGTTTAGGCTCTGTATCTACATAATAATTCATTGATACTAATCAGTATACTAATTAATATATTCTAACTATCATTTCTTGGGCTAAAAGAAGAGTCAT